ATATACAAATAGATAATAAATATATTAATTGATATTTTAAAAATTATATTTGCTTTCAACCAGAGTTAGACATTTCTTCATTATTTTATGGGTATAATTCCCAAAAATGCAGAAAATTCGACATTTTATTAAGTATTTACACAAAATAATTGATCAAAATCAATTTTGTGAGTAAAAAATATTTAAACTAATTTTTTTTGTTACAAAAAAATCAAATAGTAATATTTTATTATTAAATATAAGAAATGTTATTTCTATTTTCAAAATTGCCGAAACAAAAATTGACAAGTCAAATATTAAGCCAAAATTTCGGGATATAGAAAAAAAAGATTAAAAAACAAAAAAAATTCCAAAATTCGAAGATTTTAAATTGTCAATTATCTAAATGATAAACGTTTTCTGGTAAACTCTATGTTAAGATGTATTACTATTTGAATAAAAAGAATTTGTCTATAAATTGAAGATACTGTTGTATTAGCAAAATCTTTAATGACTTGATAATATTATTGTGTCTTTTTACTATGTTTAATTGTTAATTTTTTGGGAATTTGGACAATTGCTTATTATTATTATTACTAATATTCCCGACTATATTCATTTAAAACCCCAAAATTTTTATATAACAACAAATATTCCTAAAACTGTCGCACAAATAATAGATATTTAATTTATTAATATATATTTTTATAACTCTTAGTATGAGTATGAATTATGTTTATACTGTTATGTGAATTGTTTAATAATTATATAATTAAAAATTATACATTAATATATATTAATAAAATGAATCTGTTTTTATATTAAAATATTTCAAAATTTAACAATTTAAATTAATAATAATGTTTAATGCTATATTAATTATAAATATTAATAAATAACCACCCAATTTGAATTGTGTATTTTTTTATTTTTATGTTCATTTTTTTGTAATATAAAAATTTATTATTTATTAAAAATATTATTATGATAATCAATTTATGTGTCTTATAAACATTAAAAATATATAAATAAAATTAATATAAAATATAGTTAATTGTATTTGACACAAATATAATTACAATCAATAATGAACTACAATGGTTATTGTTTTTGAAAACAGAATTAAAAACTTAAAATTTTAGTAAAATTGATTAATATATTTAATTCAAAAAAATTAATTATCAATTGAGTTTTTGTGTTACTTCCTAAATACTAAAGATAAATCAAGCGAAATAAAAAAAACAATATACGCACGATTTTCAATTGGTAAATTAAACCAAATAAAACTATAACTATTAATTATGATTTGATTCTAAATGTTCACAGTTTGATAATCTTTACAGTAACTTATTAGGCATTTTTTGTTTTAAATGCGTTTTTGAGACAAAAAACAAAAATAATAATCACAATTTTTCACATTATTCGTTTTTAATCATTAATTCTAAACACGTTTGATAAATTTACTATTAAAATAACACCAACCTTAAATATTTTAACCGCCAACACAAATAAAAATTTTGCTCATGACATTGTTTCATTTTATTAACACAATATTATTAACACAATAAAATCATAAATTATTTAATTGATACTTTATTATAATTTTTAGTTTGTGAAATTAATAAAAACAAATAAATAAAATTAAAAAATAAAAAAAATCATTTAATAAGCTGTATAGTGTTATATAGTCAATTTAAAACTATTTTCTTATTGACAAAAAATAATTGATTCTTGATTAAAAAACGGAATTGGTAAAATTAAAAAAATAGAAACAACATTTTGGGCTTTTTGAAAAAAAAACACAAAATATTCACATTATAATGGTCTAAAAACATCAGATAATGTTCCAGATTATGCCAATCTAATGACTATCAATAAAAACCAATTTTTTATTTGTTTTTTAAACATTAAGATATTTAAAAAAAATTGATAATTATTGCATGATCATTCTTTTTTTAATTCTAAATGTTATAAACAGTTTAAATAAATTGTCCTCTTTCTGACGTTTTCCAAGAAATGTGAATAATTATAATTAGATCAATTTAAAATAACGTTTTAAATTCTTCAATATTTTTAATATAAATAATTTCAAAACTTATTAAATTAATTCCATTTTATACATCTCTTGTGAATTTTATCACTCAAACAGACTTAATTATACATAAGGACTACTTTATTAAACATACTAAATAATTTAATTAATTGCATCAAAATTAAACAATGAAAAAATAGTGTTTTTATAAGAAATATATATGTATAGCTTTCAATTTGTTTAATAATATTGGTAATTTATTAACTCTTGCATTTGTAAGACATTTTTTTAACTATTGATTACTTAAAGAGTGTAAAATTGATTTTTTAAACGATTATATATTATTGGTTTTTTGTTTATCAAATAAAAAATTAATTAAATTTGAATCATATGTGTGTCAATTAAATATTTATTAACACATAAATTATATACTCACCCAAGCTTAAAAAACAATATAATTTAGCCAATATACTGTACGCATTAGAATAACATCAATGTGGTAGTATAAATATTTTTCAAAAATTTATCATATTGTTTAAAAAATATACTTACGAATTCGATATATAGTAAATTTTAATTATACAAATTTACAACAAATAGATTATATTTTTTAATGTTTTGAATTTTCGAGCCACTTTTATTATCAAATTCATATATTTTATTATAAAATATTTATTAAACTGTTGTTTTGGTTTTGTTTAATAATGTTTAAATTATTAATTGCTATTTGGTTATTTAAAACCCATAATTTATGTTTGTAATTGATATTCAATTCAAAAGACTTATAAAATTGGTGTTAGTAATTGAATTCTTCTCAAGGTGAGTTTGGTTTAAAATGATTTTCTTTGTGTATATAAAATATAATAATTAGTAATATTTAATTCAAATACAGTGAAAATACGTTTCAAAATGATGGGAAAATAGTTTTAAAATGACAGATTTTATTTTAAAAGGACAAGATTTTTAATAAAAAGGATGAAAATCATAAAAAGTGATGGAGATTTGTTTTAAAAAGGACAGGTATTTTTATTGAAAAGGACAGGATTTTTGATAAAAAGGACGAATTTCGAAAGAAATGATGATTTTCATGAAAAAGGACAGGAATTTATTATAAAAAGGATGGAATTTTTGTTAAAAGGATGGATTTCAAGAAAATGTGACAGCCATTTTTTTGAAAAAGGATAACATTTTTAACAAAAAGGATCGATTTTTTAATAAAATATAATTTATTTCCGACATTTTCCCGATTTTACACATAAAACACAAACAATTTAGAATATCATAAACTTGTTTCAAAAATAAATGTATAAATCAATAATCAAATTAAAATAAAAAAGGATTTACATTATTTTGAGATCAATCTTAATAATTGATTTAAATGTCTCAGTCTTTAACATTCATCGACGCTAGAGACCCAATAGCTAGGAACGATTTTATAGATAATCCACCACTTATCCAATGGAATGAACAACAGCGCCAGGTTGAATCTAAAACACCTTTCATTCTTCCCCAAGCTACTAAAAGAAAAAGGGGAAGACCCAAAACTCGGTCAGAATCAATAAACCAAACCAAAAGACCTTATCACAAAGTAACAATACAAAACAAGTTTGATATGATTAAACTTTTTAGAGTTTATGGGGACACTAAAGACGACGTGTTTTATAGTGGAGAACTTGGTATTAAAATCAAGGCTGTCAAAAATATGTTAGTCAAATTAAGAAGTGGTAATTCAATTTTACCAAAAGACCACTACAAGAAAAAAGCAGAGTAATTCCTTTTCAGCATTTGGTAAAGAAATTAATTGAAAAAGACTCAACATCTTCAGTCAATTGTATCTGATCAAACATCCAAAAAGTGTTGGTAAATGCCAATGTAACAACAGTCGAAGAAGTCACAGAAATTACACAAGAACAATTTGAATTGGGGTATAACAACAATTCTCCAACTCGAATATCACAAGAAGCATTGGATACAATCGACAAAATGATTCCTTCAATAAGCGCGATTAGAAACTTCATGAAAGGAAAAACTGGTATAGATGAGGACAGAACTCTTCCCGTTTTAAGTTTCAAAAGGGAAACTCCACGAGGCGCAGTTGCAAACACTAACGAAAACAAAGAGAAAAGAATCGCCGCGATCGAAGAATTGGTTGGTCAGATGCACTTGGGAAAAACCTGGGTTTGCATTGATGAATCCTCTTGGCGTATTGCTTGCACTGCGGTTTACGGATGGAGTCCAATCGGTGAAAAACTCTTCGTGACAAAGGCAAAAAACGGACAAAGACTATCTGCTTTGTGTTCAATAGACTACACAGGAATGGGAACAACTTTTTTGGTTGCAGGAAAAAGTGATGAAGAGGTCTTCAAAAGATATTTTATAGAATTGATGAAACACTATGACGACAACAACAATTCAGCAGTGTTTTGGTGTGACAATTGTACTATACACAACCATTTGAGGGAACTTGTTACTAATACTCATCATTCAATTGTTTATAATGCAGCTTATAGTCCTGAACTCAACCCAATCGAAACTGTATTTGGGTTTTGGAAAAGG